CCTTTTGTTCTTTTATTTTTCTCTTTCATGGATGCCATGTTCTTTGGAAGCTTGTGAGACCAAGTTAATGGCCTTTTAGGCTTCCTCCACATGAATAGGAGTTCACTTTTTGAGTAATAAGAATTATATGTCACAGGGGGGCATCAGGATTTTAGAGATGCTTAGGTAGGGCATGGCCAAAAGGAGGTTGGGAACCACTGCCCTAAGGCCCAAATGCTGACTGAGGCCCTTCAAGGGCCGACCTCTCCTCTGGGCTGCTCGACCTCCTCAGTCTGGGCTTTGGGGTCCTTGCTGCAGTGGTTTTCTTTCCATACAAACATCCTGCTCTTATAGGTCTTACAGTCTAGTGGCAAGAATAACTAGTAACCTGGATAGTAACTTAGAAAGTGCACAGAGTCAGGAAGTAGCAGGAAGCATGGGGGCTGCGCCTGGAGGAGGGCGGTGAGAACTGAGGGTGCCAAGAGGGGACTTTGGTTCTCTTGGGTAATGTCCAGCCCTGCTGGTCTCTCACCGGCAGCTGACCGTCCCTACCCTTCTCACTTTCCACGTAAACAACCAGCTCAGACCACCTTCCTTTACCTCCTCGCCCTGAGCTGTGCCCTGCTGTCCGGGAGCGAGGCGTTATCTTTCTGGCGGCCTTCTAACGGGGTGTGGGCAGGCAGGCGGTCCCTGGTCTTAGGGTCTTTGTCTTGCCGAAGACTTTGTACGTTATCCTAGGGCAGTGATGGCGAACCTTTTGAGCTCGGCGTGTCAGCGTTTTGAAAAACCCTAACTTAACTCTGGTGCCGTGTCACATATAGAAATTTTTTGATATTTGCAACCATAGTAAAACAAAGACTTATATTTTTGATATTTATTTTATATATTTAAATGCCATTTAACAAAGAAAAACCAACCAAAAAAATGAGTTTGCGTGTCACCTCTGACACGCGTGTCGTAGGTTCGCCATCACTGTCCTAGGGCGATGAGAGGCAGTCATGGTTGAGTTTTAGAAAGAGGAAGGACAGGAAGAAGGAGACCAGTGAGGGGATTCAGAGTGTGGCGGTGGGAGCTGGCCTGTGGGTTAGGTCTGTCCTCTGCTGGGCCACTCGTGAAGTGGTGTGGTCATAGCACCCTTCTTGGGGCTGTCACAGGTTAAACTGGTTTGCATTTCTAAAGCCTGGAACATGGTAAGCACAAGTAAGGTTCTAAATTAAGTAAAATAATCGTATTCAATTTTTTTAGTTTTCATTTTTAATTGGTTCAGCTTTTTCTAGCAGCATTATGTTTTGGTAATATGTTTTACTGTTATTGCCACTATTTTTTTAAATCTTTGTTATTGCTACTATTAATATTAGCTAATATAAGAATAATCAACTTTTATTTTCATTAAATATGAGCATAATAGGCTAATTATAGAAACTAAGAAAAACTATAGTTATGGGAAATGAGTACCTTTGCTATTGGTTTGGATGTTAATATAGTTAGCAGTTTGAGAGAGACACATCTATTGGTTGCCTCTCACATTCGCCCTAACTGGGGCCGGGGATTGAACCTGCAACCCAGGTATATGCCTTTGACCAGGAATTGAACCTGTGACCCTTTGTTGCATGGACCGATGCTCTAACACTTAACAGCACTGGCCAGGGCGGCATCTTAAGTATAAGGATTCTGTAGGAAAGTAAGTCTAATGCACTTATCTTAAAATTAATTGCAATTTCAGTAATGCCTTTAAAAAAACAAAAAACAACCCGTGTTTTGATGCTTATAATCAAGTACCTGCAGGTCGTAGCTCTGGGCTACAAGGTGTAAGGAAGAAATCCAATGGGTAACTGTAATATTTTTGTTAATTCAGTATCTGTGGTTGTGTGACTGAAGTTGTGTACTAACCGTAAACCTGTCGGAGCGACTTCATGTTGGAAAATCCCAAGGAGGGCTGTAATGGGATTCATTTCCTCAGTACATCCTCATGCTGATAATTGTGTTCCCAATGGTGTGGCATGTTGCATGGCCTTGGACTGTCCTACTGTCTGAAGAAAGAGTGGAGATGAAACAGGTCAGGTCTCGTTCACTGCCCACACGCCTCACGCCCTGCAGTCCTGGGGTGCTGAGAGGAGACACTGAGCAGGTCAGGGTGCGGTCCAGGCCTGCGGGCTCCGTACCAAGGAGACTGGCGACTCTGAGGCCAAGGCGGGTTTGCCGCAGGACCTCGTAAGTCTTGTTTACACCAGCACTGTCGTCGGTGGGCAGGTTTCTGAAGGCTTTCTGTCCACAGTGACAACTTTGCAGCTGGCCTGGGCCTTTCCTGCTTTGAGCACCGGCAGACCAGCACCCCGGGAGCCCTCAGAACTTCCTTGGTCCTGGGCCGACCAGCATGATTGGTCACCCGTGTGTGGATTTTTAAAGGTTTGCATGTCACGCTGTGATTCTTGTAGAAGCTGTGAGGGAGGTGTGGCTGGTGCTGCTGTCCCCGGTCTGCAGGTAGCGGCAATGGAGGCTGGGACTTCAGAATCACCCAGGCAGGGGAACCGGTGGGAGGGTGTCCTGGGAATGAAGCAGAGCAGATGTGGGGAGTGGGCGGTCCTCTCTGCAGATAACAGGCCAGGTATCAGGACTCAGTGGGTGTCTTAAAGTTGACCACACATGAATCCAATCAATAGGGAAGTATTTTTTTTCAGGAAAGATGACAGTAATTTCCTATTATACTTGGTTGATTCTTGTCACACTTCACCAGTGAGGTCTTCGTTAGGTTTTTCAGTTGTCCTTTGGGGCTTATACGCCACGAAGGGGGCGGTGTTTTAGAGAAGCACCATTACGAAGGCTGAAGCTGTGATTCTGGGTAGGTTTTGGGCGATGACGCTGGACCTGAGTGAGTTTGTGTGGGTTTGCGAGAGACCAGCTTTTCTCCTGGATTCCACAGTGTCATAGTGGTTCTAGTATAGTGTTCTTAAAGGGCTGAGGCGGGGCTTTGCCCAGTGATGTTAGTGCTACAAGGTCTCCCCTGCACCAGGCGTTGTTGTTCTCAAGGAGAGCAGTCCGGAGGAGCTGTGCACCTTCGGACGGGTGGACACACAAATGTCTGAGGATGCTGTCTGTTCCCACACATAGCCTGGACCAAGCAGAGTGTGTGTCTGGTCGGGGTTGGTCTTCAAGTCCCCAAATAATTTCTGTCACCTTCATAGAGAGCATATTAGAAGGAGTCTATTGGTGGCTGGGGTGAGGGGGTGGGGAGAGGCTTGGTTTTAGGTGTTATTTGGGAAAATCTGTTGTGCTGTATCTCTCGGCATTTAAGAGTAGGATGAACCCGTATCGAAACTGGTTTAGATTAGTCGTATGTGGAAGCTAGTCATATGTGGACCTGTCCTGTTCTGGTATTTCTCACTATGATATCTTTAACTGCTCAGTTGTTGAAAACAATTCTGCTTTGCTGTAGCAACTTGCCACCTGGCTGACCAGATGCCACTGTAGTTCATATATTCCCAAGGTTCTTGCTCCTTCTAGAAAGGACTTTTAAAGTGTTGTGTTTATCTAAGATCAGGAAACCTAAATAAATTATTTTGGTCATAACCATTTGTCTTTGACATTTTGCAGTCAGTCATCCTATCCTATATAATAAAACCCTAATATGCAAATCGACCAAACAGCAGAATGACCAGTCACTATGACATGCACTGACCACCAGGAGGCAGATGCTTGACACAGGAGCTGCCCCCTGGTGGTCAGTGGGCTCCCACAGGGGGAGCGCCGCTCAGCCAGAAGCCGGGCTCACGCTCATGGCTGGCAAGCGCAGCGGTGGTGGCGGAAGCCTCTCCTGCCTCCACTGCAGGTGGGTGGTAAGGAGCGAGGGGTCCCAGACTGCGAAAGCCCCGGACTGCGAGAGGGATGTCTGACTGCCAGCTTAGGCCCGATCTCTGGGGGAATCGGGCCTAAGCCAGTAGGCAGACATCCCCCAAGGGGTCCCAGACTGCAAGAGGGCGCAGGCCGGGCTGAGGGACACTCCCCTGCCCTCCACCCCCCGGCAGTGCACAAATTTCATGCACTGGGCCTCTAGTATGACATAAAGACATTTGAACCAGCACATTCCCTCTGGGGAGCACAACCACCACGCCATCCCCTTCCCTCTCCCCCTCTCCTTCCCCCACCGGCCTGCATCTCCTAAACTCTAAGGGACCCCACAAGACTTGCAAACAGGGGAGCAATGGGCAGCAGCAGCTCGTCCCAGCCTAGTCCTCGGATCCTGTCCCCAAGGCCCTCTTTTCTCTGACTTCCCAGAGAGCTAAGGCAGCCCAGCCTAGGCTCCCCTGTTGCTTCTTCTATACCAAGCCCGCCCTTGTTTCACTGTCCCCAGCTTTAATAAATGTTCCCTCATAGAAAAACAAAAGAACCAAAGCTCCATGCAGCTGTTAAGGTTTGCTTCAAAAATACATTCAGTGACTACCCGGGTCATGAAAAGAAGCAGTTTTCATTTTTTTTTGTTTTGTCTTGAGGCTCTGACCAACTCCAAGGCCCTTGTTCTATTCTCAGGCTGAATCACCAGGTTGCTTTCAAGATAGTTAAATGTACTTTCACGTGCACGCCTTTGCCAGCCTCAGACATTACCACTTAAAATACATGTGCCATTTAATAAATAAAAACATTATTTCATTACTGTCTCAAGGGCTAAGCTTTAAAGAGTAAAATCTTCCAATGACCTTTTTATGCTGATCAGATAAGTAACTCATGGGCGAAGGCACCCACATGTGGACCTGGGTGTTTCCCTCCATGGCTTTCTGCAGGTCTTTGCATAGTGGTGACCATTTTGCCTTTTTCCCCCCCTTTTCTTTGAATTTATTGTGGTGACGCTGGTTAACAAAATTATACAGGTTTCAGGTGCACAGTTCCACAACACGTCATGTATACACTGTATTTTGTGATGTTATTTATACCTCCCTCTGACAAGGATGGTGTGTTAAAGACCAGCTTTGTCGCTCTGTTAGCTGTTGTATTTATTATGACTGTTGTTGTTTTCTCAGGCCGGTCTAATTGAAGCCAACGGGGAACTAAAGGTCTTCATAGACCAGAACCTTAGTCCTGGAAAAGGTAAGGGCACCAACTTTGGAAATGTGAGTTTGTTGATAAATGCGTGAAGTTTGCTGTATTTGTGAATTTCTCTGCTAGGAAAGCCCTTGTCAGCTGTGGAAACCCACCTTGGGAACCCTCCTGCCTGGGAGCCCCCAGGATGGACTGGGAGGAGTGGTGTTCGGAAGTCACTCAGACACACCACCTGCACACACACACACACCAGTGGCTGAGTTTATTTTGGTTTGTAAGTCGCATACTGTTGGCAAAAATTCAGGAAATGTGGAAAAGTGAAACGAAGAAAACACAGGTCACTTGTGTTCTGTCCACCTCACGGCCTGGAGCTGGGGGTGTGCTCTCCAGGCCTTTGCTCTGTGGCCAACACTGAAGCAGATGGACACAAACTTCAACCCAAGGGCTCACGGTGCGGGGCACACCTCACAGTGCGAACAAGAGTCCACGTCAGTGGCTGTGTGTGTATCTTTGTTATTTCTCTGGGGATCAGTGTTGCTTTGCATCACTAGAATGCAGGGAGGATCCGTTAAAGCCACGCCTTCCCAGCGGTCCCTCAATTTGCAGTTTCCCTCTGAGAACGTGTATTTGAACATGCTGGGTACTTCCCCAGGTAAAGTCGTAGCCGTGGAATTACTGGATCCATGTCAAAGCGTTATTTCTCTGGGGATCAGCATTGCTCTGCATCACTAGAATTCAGGGAGGATCGGCTAAAGCCACGCCTCCCAGCGGTCCCTCAGTTTGCAGTTCCCCTCTGAGAACGTGTATTTGAACATGCTGGGTACTTCCCCAGGTAAAGTCGTAGCTGTGGAATTACTGGATCCACGTCAAAGATACGTGCCTTTGAAGCGTTGATGTGTGATGCTTGGTTGATTGTAAAGCTGCGTTGGTGTGGAACTTTGATATCAAGTTCGAGCAAGCCCATTTGGTGCAGCTCATTGTAATACTGCTCAGAGAAGACCGAGGGAGACCTGGTTTGTCTTAAGGAGGTTTTGCTTGCAGGGGTGGATGAAGTCCAGGTGTGTGGCTCCAGCTCTCACGTCCACTGTCTGTGTCAGCCAGGCTGGGGCCAGAGGCCTTGTGCAGTGTTAGGGCTTAGCTTCTGTTTAAGGATTACTTCTTTCTGCTTTTTCTAGTGATTGTCATACATAAGATTACCTTTTTACTCTAACAGCGAGGCCCTAATAAGTGATCTTTTGATGCCTACTATAGCCTTGGGGATTTGCAACTGGTGCGGGGCCCTCACTCGGTCTTCCCGCTGTGTCCCAGCCCCTTCATGTCTGTCCATCCATTACTGGTGAGCACTGGACAGAAACCCAGCCATCTCCTGCCTCATCCATTCCCCTCTCCCGGGAAGCTCGGTCCCTGTGTGACTGAGCAAGTCTGGTGTGTTGTGGGTTCACACCCTGCCCGCTCGGTTGCATTGGGACTTATCTTCAGATGCCCATGGAGGCTCATGGACACGGCCACATGCTGGCTGTCCGTGCCCTTGGCCTGCACCCTGTCCAGGGCTTGACTGATCTCCTCTTGCTCAAGGCCTAGGCTCACGCCTGCTCTCCTGGTTTCACTGCTGGAATGTCATGGGCGTGCCCTGCACTTCTTTTCCCTCTGTCCGAGGATGGAGGCCCACTGAGGGATTTGGATTTGGTGTTGGCATACTTTTTAAACTTGATACGCTGTGAAGCTAATTTTTGGCACTCACAGATTGCTTGAGTGAAAAATTCAGTGTAAGTAATTGAACATGTAAAATTTTTCGGACATTTGAGGCATGACATTTTCTATTAAAGCGATGAAGCAGAAATAATAATGGGGAAAAAAATCCACAAACTTTGCTCCCTTGGAGATGATGGAAGCCTTTCATTCTGGTGTTTATTTTGAATTTCTCTCCAAGTAAGCTTACTTGTGACCACACATTGGCTCTCTCCTTTTCCTTTCCTATTGAGTTTAATTGTGAGCCAAGGAATTGAATTGGAAGGATGGAAAAGTAAGTTTCTTGACTCTACTAAATATTTTGGTGTTGGCTCCCTGCAGCGTTTAAAATACCTCGTGTCTCCCTCGGGCACGGCCTAGCTTCTCTGCAGCCCCCTCATCTTACCCTGTGTGTTCTTCAGCTCATTTTTTCGGCCTCACTCACCCCACTCGCCTTTGCTGTGCCGCTCTGCCATTGGGAGTCCCCTGACCGCATGCCCAGGCCTCGCCCATCCTCCTGACCAGTCTCGCCTGGTTGCCCCGTGGGTGGTGGAGTCCAGAGCCAGTCCTGGGACCAGTGCAGCCTCCAGGTGGTCCGGGCTCCTTCCTTCTCCCAAGGCCCCTCCCTGTCCCTTCTACCTCACAGCAGTGCTTTAGGGAGAAGGCGCATGGCGACGTCTCCACAACCCCACTCCGCAGCTCTCCCCGAGCCGCCACGTTTCTCCTGCTCCTTCCAGAGAATTAGCTTTTAACAAGCGGAGCTATTTGTCTGTTCATGCTGTTCTGGCCGGTGGGGGCTTGGATGTGGAGAGAGTAGGACCAGGCCGTCTGGCCGCCACCCTTGTGCACTGACGGACAGGCTTTCAGCAGCAGCGTCACCGGTTGCTTCTGGTTCATGAGTTTAAGGATAGTTTTAAGCAGTGTTGTACTAACTTGAACTGTTCGCTTTGGGTTCTTTATTAGTATTTCATTAGCTTGGAGAGCCCCATGAGCAACACATTGGGGTCATTTGATTCAGTGGTCACTGTGGGCACTTCCCATGGGGCAGTTGGCAAAGGCTTGGGGTCACAGTGAGTAAGGCTCAGACCGCCCCCCCCCCCCCCCCCCCCCCCCCCGAGCCCAGGGGCGTGGTCAGCAGCATGTCCTGGAGAGCCAGTCTCTCTGGAGTGACTGTGAAGGAGCAGGGGCTGGTTCTCACTGTGGCGGTTTCGGAGGTAAGGATGGGATGGTCCTGAGGAGAAGGCTGTGGCCCAGGCCAGGAGAGGCTGGGGCATCCAGGTCAAGGACTGGCCTCGCCTCTTGCCCTGCACCGTGTACCTGTGGGACTAGTTCACCATTGCTCTCACGCCCACCCACCGGGAATTCAGGAGCAGGCCAGCGCCTGATTACTGCCACTTCCTGGGAACCTCGCTGCCCTCGGCTAAGAACCCGAGACATCCTCAGATGAGGCCAGACCCAGATCCAGTTCCCTCTTCGTCTGCTCCTATTGGAGTTCTGGCTTTGACTCACTTCCTTGCACCTGGGCCCTACTGTGCCCCTGCTCTGGGCCCTGCTGCTCTTGCCCCGTTGGGGTTCTATCCTCACACCACTCCCAGTCTCGGCCTCCCTGCCCACCCTGTTCCTGGATCACTCCTTTTCTTAAAGCTGCTGTGTTTCCTGACCCCGGTGCCAGCCAGAGTTCTCTCGAGAGGCAGAGTTGGTGGAAAACACGTCATGTGTATGAAGGAGGTGTGTTTCAAGGAATCACCAGCCTGTGTGCTGTGGGACTGGCAGGTCTGAAATCATCAGGGCAGGCCGGCAGCCTGGAAACAGGCAGGAGCCGGGGCTGCAGTCTCAAGGCGGAATTCCTTCTCAGGGAAACCTCAGGTTTTGCTCTCAAGGCTCTCGGCGGGTTAGATGGTTTATCCAGGTGTTTTTCTTTACCTAAAGTCTATGTTTGTCGATCTCACCACATCCACAAAGAGCTGCCAGAACAGCCCCCAGGCTGGTGTTCGATGGGATAACTGGGGACTGGTAAATGCCTTGGCAAACTGACACATAAAGTTGGCCATAACACCCTGTGAGACTCAAAAATCTACTTCCCCCAGAAAAATGCACTGACCTCACAGCCTTTGCATCCACAGGCCCTGAAGACAAGAGCCCCGATGCAGTTTTAGACAGTAACTTCTGTGTGCAGTTTTAGTTGTGACAGCCATCTGGGTTGCTTCCGATTGTTTGCTCACGGCTGTAACACTGTGTGAGTCTTTGCACACACATTTGTTTTTGTGATTTGGGCAGACGCTTAGGAGTGGAAACTAGGTCACATAGCAAATGTATATGTGGCTGCATTGTTTTGCTTCCAGTTGCTCCGCATCCTCACTAATGTGTGATGTCGTCAGTGTTTTCAACTTCATGTGTCCTAATCGGTCTTTCCTCTTACTCCCTTCTTGCCTGTGGCCTCACACTGCTGGAAGGAGTCTGTCCGGGGTGCGGTGCCTGTCGCCTAAGGCCCCGCCTCTACCCTGCACCTCGACCTGGATGAGTTCCAGGCCCGGCCGATCTTCTCACTTTCCTCCTCATGGTTCTTGCTTGGGTCTTTTTTTCCAGCCGAACAGTAATGGTGCACAGGCAGCCTTCCCCCACCACTCAGGTGCCCACACAGCCCTTCCTGCCAGCCTGCACCCTGCCTGTCCCCTGCGCAGACCTGACCTTGGACCACAGCTCAAGTATGCCCTTTTTTCTGTACTCTGGGTCTCTGTTTGCACTTCATTACGCTTCCTGCCTTTTCAAACTGAAAACTTATTTATTATCCAGATAATATATGCTTACTGAGAAAAACCCCAGCTGTACCTGAGAGTACAGTTAAACATGCAAATGTATGTTAAAGTGCATACTTCCTATTTTGGGAACACTTTTCTGCACCCGGAGTCCATGCACACAATGCATTGAGACGTGTGGTGATCCTCTTCATGCTGTGTGTAACTGCAGTTTGTTGTAGCTGGGCTGTTCTGTCAGTTTCTAATGCTACCTTTTGTTACCTGGCACCTTGTTAGTGGGGAGCTCTAATACCTGTTGATTGATTAGTCACATAAACCTGTCTTTTTTCTGAAGAGCTGTAAGGCCCCTTATGCTAGACACGTTTAGGTCACTGTCTTCAGCTCCTGGAGGTAGGGCCCATCTCCATGTGCTCTTGCTTTAACCCAGAACATTGATTGCTTCCTGCATCATTGTCTTTGTCTAACTGGTGAGCAGGCATTCTCCTGGGACGAATGTCATTTTCCCTGCTCCAGTGCTGTTTTCCAGCTTTAGGGTTCTGAGGTAGGAAAATGAAAATTTACCAGTGACGTGTGGCTGAAACCTGAGTGTTATTTTGTAATTCTTGAGATGTGTTACTGTACCTCCCAAATGCACGCATACGTGCACACGTACACATACACACTTGCACACACTCGCACACGGTGGGTAAATTCAAACCGGTCTCTGTAGTGGGTGGGAGGGGAGCCCAGTTGTGGGAGGAAGCGGAGGAACTTTTGGTTTGCCCCTCGGACGGCTGCCCTCCGGGGCAACGTGGGACAGAGGCACCAGCCTGTTCTCTCCTCCTGTCCTGTGTTTTAACCCAAAGGGCATTTACAGCATGGTAGTGACGTCCTGCCCTGTGAGCCTTGCTCCTGGGCATGAGGTGATGACCGTTCTTCAGTTAAATGCTGGCCAAGGAGCAGAAGGGCTGCTACACAGTGAGGCCGCATGGAAGTCACCTGGGATGCGGGTTCTGGGCTGACCCAGCTGATGCAGCCAGAGCGCAGCCCTTGGGCGTGGCACACCTCAGCCTGGATCCACGGAGGAGCCCCTGCAGAGCCCATTTCTCCCTGGTTTTCCTGCCTGGTGTGGCTGCTGCGATGGCCCAGGAAGGAGGCTCCTCCTCGGTGCTCAAGAACTGAGAAGGCTGTTGTGGCTGATCCAGGGCCAGACAGTGAAGGTGCAGCATGCAGGGTCGCCACGGTCTAGTCATGTTAATATAACAAAATATTTGTAGCACGGTGGCAAAATAGTAACTCTTAAAACATTAGATTCCAAAACTTTAAGATGTTTGGTTAAAATTATTTCCAAGAAAACACTAAACCATATGTTTTCATAATTTATCTTAAAAACCTATACAGTATGTACTAATAGACTATGATTACTAATTATAAAAATATGCTCATATAGTTATTTTTAGAATTCTTTTTCTTTTAATGGTTATAGCAATCAGACCATGTATGTTCTTTTTTTAAAAAATATATATTTTTATTGATTTCAGAGAGGCAGGGAGAGGGAGAGAGAGATAGAGACATCAATGATGAGAGAGAATTATTGATTGGCTGCCTCCTGCACGCCCCACACTGGGGATCGAGCCCGCAACTTGGGCATGTGCCCTTGACCGGAATCGAACCTGGGACCCTTCAGTCCGCAGGCTGATGCACTAGCCACTGAGCCAAACCAGCTAGGGCAGACCATGTATATTTTTAACTCAATTTTTTGCCAAGAAAGGAATTCTCCATTGTATAATGTTATATTTGAAAATATTTTGTTATGGAGTTTCTTTATAAACGGCTGTGTAGTACATTTTACAGTTGAAACAATATTATTTCTAGTTAGTAGATTCCTAGACTGTTATAATTTAACCTATCTTGTAACTGATAGATTGCGTGTAGCAGTCTTTATTAGAAAAATGTGCTAAACATTCTATTTTTTATCGCTAAATTAAACAAAAAATGAAATACCATTTTATTTTTGAGGTTGTCAAAAAGTGACAAGTCTTACTGAGTCAACAATTGGCAAAAGCCTAGGAGAGGAACACTGGATGCTGGGGTGTGTGTACATGTGGTGTGTGTATTTGTGTGTACATATTTGTGGTGCGTTTGTGGTGTGTGTGTTTGCATGTATGTGTTTGTGGTGTGTGTGTGTGTGTGTGTGTGTGTGTACATATTTGTGGTGTGTTTGTGGTGTGTGTGTG